TGTAGATGTCTATTAGGTTCTCTTGGTTCAGATTCAATTTCAAGTCCTGGATATCCTTGTTAATTTTCTGTCTCATTGATCTGTCTAACATTGAGTGGAGTGTTAAAGTCTCCCACTATTATTGTGTGGGAGTCTTAAGTCTCTTTGTCCGTCATTAAGAACTTACTTTATGTATCTGGGTGTTCCTGTATTGGGTATGTATATATTTAGGATCATTAGCTCTTCTTGTTGCATTGATCCTTTTACCATTATGTAATACCCTTCTTTGTCTCTTTTGATCTTTGTTGGTTTAAAGTCCACTTTATCAGAAACTAGGATTGTGACTCCTGACTTTTTTGCTCTCCATTTGCTTGGTAAATCTTCCATCCATTTATTTTGAGCCTATGTGTGTCCTTGCACATGAGACGGGTTTTTGAATACAGCACACTGATGGGTCTTGACTTTATTCCCAATTTACCAGTCTGTGTCTTTTGATTGGGGCATTTAGTCCATTTACATTTAAGGTTAATATAGCTAGCTGGCAGAACAACCAGCTAGCATCAATTCGATCCTGCCATTTTGATGCTAGCTGGTTGTTTTTCTCATTAGTTGACACAGTTTCTTCATTGTGTCAGTGGTCTTTACCATTTGGTACATTTTTGGAGTGGCTGGTACTGGTTGTTCCTTTCTATGTTTAGAGGTTCTTTCAGTAGCTCTTGTAAGGCAGGCCTGGTGATGACAAAATCTCTCAGCATTTGCTTGTCTGTAAAGGATTTTATTTCTCTTTTACTTATAAAGCTTAGTTTGGCTAGATATGAAATTCTGGTAAAGTTATTTTCTTTAAGGATGTTGACTATTGGCCCCCACTGTCTTCTTGCTTGTAGGATTTCTGCCAAGAGATCTGCTGTGAGTCTGATGGGCTTCCCTTTGTGGGTAACCCAACCTTTCCCTCTGACTGCTTTTAGCATTTTTTTCCTTTATTTCAACCCTGGTGAATATGACAATTGTGTGCCTTGGGGTTGCTCTTCTTGAGGAAAATCTTTGTGGTGGTCTCGGTATTTCCTGGACTTGAATGTTGGCCTGCCTTGCTTGGGGTAGTTCTCCTGGATAATATCCTGAAGAGTGTTTTCCTGCTTGGATTCATTCTCCCTGTCATATTCAGGTACACCGATCAAGTGTAGATTAGGTCTTTTCACATAATCCCATATTTCTTGGAGGCTTTGTTCATTTCTTTTTCACTCTGTTTTCTCTAATCTTGTCTTCTCATTTTATTTCACTGAGTTGATTTTCAACCTCTGATATCCTTTCTTCTGCTTGGTTGATTCAGCTATTGAAACTTGTGTATGCTTCGCAAAGTTCTCATTTTGTGTTTTTCAGCTCCATCAAGTTGTTTATATTCTTCTCTCCGCTGGTTATTCTAGTTAGCATTCCATCTAACCTTTTTTCTAGGTTCTTAGTTTCTTTGCATCGGATTAGAACATGTTCTTTTAGCTCAGAGAAGTTTGTTATTACCCACCTTCTGAAGCCTGCTTTTGTCAATTCTTCAAATTCATTCTCCATCCAGCTTTGTCCCCTTGCTGGTGAGGAGATGTGATCCCTTGGGGGAGGAAAGCCATTCTGGTTTTTGGTGTTTTCACCCTTTTTGTGCCAGTTTCTTCCCATCTTTGTGGATTTATCTACCTGTTGTCTTTGTAGTTGGTGACTTTCCGATGGGGATCTCTGAGTGGACATCCTTTTTGTTGATGTTGAAGCTATTTCTTTCTATTTTTTGGTTTTCCTTCTAACAGTCAGGCCCCTTTGCTGCAGGAGTATTGGAGGGCCACTCCAGACCCTGCTTGCCTGGGAATCACCCATGGGGGCTGCAGAAAAGCAAGGGTTGCTGCCAGTTATTCGGTTATCTTTGTCCCAGAAGGGTACCTGTCAGATGCCGAAGCTCTCCTTTATGAGGTGACTCTTCAGATATACGGGGGTCTGAGAGCTACTTGGGGAGACAGTCTGTCCCTTATAGAAGCTCAAGTGCTGAGTTGTGAGCTCCATTGTTCTGTTCAGAGCTGCTGGGTAGATACGTTTAAGTCTGCTGCAGTGGAACTCATAACCACCTTTTTTTTCCCAGGTGCTCTGTCCTGGGAAGGTGGGGCTTTATTTATAAGTTCCTGATGTGTTGCTGCCTTTTTGTGGAGCTGCCCTGCCCAGCAAGGAGGTAGTCTAGTCACAGTCTGCCAACAGAGGCATTGCTGAGCTGCTGATGGCCCTGCCTAGCTGCTGTGTGAACTTCCTTACAGTTTTGTTATAGAGGTTATAACCCATCTCATGTGCAAGGACACACGTAGGCTCAAAATAAATGGATGGAAGAAGATTTATCAAGCAAATGGAGAGCAAAAAGTCAGGAGTCACAATCCTAGTTTCTGTTAGAAATGCCTCAGTAGTAGTGGACTGCCTGGGTAATGGCAGATGCCCTTCCTCCCACAGAGCTCAACTATCTGGGTTGGGTACAGCTGCACTTGCTGTGAAACTCTCAAGTCAGAGCATTTCAGATTGCTGGTCTTTGTGGGGGTGGGACCCGCCAAGTCAGATCACCTAGCTCCCTGCTTTCAGCCCTCTCTTTTTTAGTTGAATGGGCAGCTCCCAGGCCTTCCAAGTGATAGTTGAAACAGCTGCCCAAAGTTGTGTGAGTTTTTGTGCAGAAACCTGTGCCAACTGAAATAGCCCTGCTGGAAACTCGTGGGGCTTTTTGGCCCAGGAATCTCCTGGTCTGTGGGCAGTGAAAACTGTGGGAGAGGTGCTGTGTCTGAACCAAAGTGCTGGAGTGGAGGGAAAAGCCCCGGATGGCCTCCATTGGGTAGGGAGGACGGTACTCTGGGGATTGCACTTCCCAGGTGAGGCAATGCCTCACCTTGCCTCAGCTGACCCTTCCTGGGCTACACTTACTGTGCCACCAGTCCCATTGAGATGCAGCTGGTACCTCATTTGGAAATGCAGAGATAACTCACACTCTGCACAGTTCTCGCTGGGAACTGCACCCCAGAGCTGTTCCTATTAGGCCATCTTGCTCTGTCTGCTTTTCTTGATGTATCTGGTGCTTTATTGTCATTTTCATTTGGCTTCTGGAGGGAGTAAACTTTAACTTGTGTGTTCAATTAACGTTTGTTCAATCTGCATTATATTTTCACTTATTAAGAATTCTCTATCTTACATAATTCAAAATAAGGAATATAGAGAGTCCCTGATAACCAGAGAGAGCCTGCACACTGGAATTTACACAAGAATACCTCCATGTTTCATGTCAAAATTTATTTTAAAATTGTCTATTTTAATCTGAAAGTTATGTTTGTAAATTAGTATTATCTAAATCAGTATGGGAGACTTTCATTAGTGCTCAGTATTTATCACTGTAAATGCATGGCTGAGACAAAACATGGGTTATGTATCTCATATTCATTTTATTCTTTAATACTTTCTATGCATAGATGAGTTTTAAACTTTCTAATTACAAGGTGAACATCAATTTGAAAAAAATGCTTGGCTTTAAAAAATGTTTGCTATATATCCCCAAAACTGTACTTTTCCATTTTCTTCTACTTTTTCTATGACATTTTCTATTTACTTTTCCATAACTTGTGTTTCATCTTCCTTTTAAAAGTTATTATTCCTAATATTTTATATAGACTCACCATAATCTTTGTATGTTTGTCCCTCTTTTTTTCTGAACTCATCACTATTATAAGCAACAATTTTTTTGAACTATGTAGATTACAGTCACCTGATAGGGAAAATCTCTCTGATTTTAACTATCTTTTTTTAAAAAAGAATATTATGCCCCATTTGTATCTTTTCAAAACAAGTATATCTTTTATAAGCTGTGAAGATGGGCTAAAGGTAGATAATTTTTCATAAGCACAATAGCTGCATTATCTAAAGCTAAGAAGTAAGACATTTTATGTCTTGAAAAGGCTCTTAGAATAAAATTACCTCACTGAAATTAGTCATCTTTTGGCTAAATTGACTTTCTTTTTGCTTTCTAGAATTTCATTTTCTTCATTCAGTAGATGTATTACTTATTTCCAAAAAAGAACAAAAGAAAAAATAGTATGTAAATGTGAAAACGTTTATTTTATATTATTTTGACTATAAGATTGTGAAGATAAATTTTGTTCAAAATGATTATTGTTTCTTATTACCAAAAGTAAACACCATAAAGAAGAAGTAGCTTCAGCAATGTACACAGAAATAATTTCAAGTTGACATTACAACATATTGGACTTTGGAAAAGCATAAACTATAATTTTGTGACTACAGTTGATGAATGAGTGATAATTTCAACTATAAGTGTAAACATGCACTATGTTTCCAGAAATCTAGATGAGAGAGAATATTGAATCGTTTTTAAGATCACAATTTTGGTTTTAACAGAACTAGTCCAAGTCATGGCTCTGCCACTGTGATTTACTTCAAGTTATTTTAGTTTTCTGAGCCTCAGTTCACTTGGCAGAAAAATGGGGATTTACAACCCGAGGCTGTGATAAAGATTAAACATACCTATACACATAGTATTTAACATAGAACCTGGCACATAGTGAGCATTCAATGAATGATTGCCAATGTTGCTACAAAGCCGTTTAGATATGTTTGATCAAAATGAATGAAACTGTACCAATCACAAGCAAATTAATTCAATGTAACACTAGGATTGGTAGTGTTACCAATATTTCCACTTTGGGCAAATAAAAACAGCTAGGCATTTATGCTTACAGGCAAGACACTAAATGTTAATGCCTCTGGATGAAAAAAATAGGAAATGGTAGGTGGTGCAGGAGAGGCATGCTCTCATTTTAAAGGTTAAAAAACAGATTTAAAATGTGTATACATCTGGTCACTAGAAACAGCTTTCTTTTCACTATACTCAGAGGATTCACTTATTCAGCAGATATTCTTTGATTGCCTATTATGTGCCTGACTGTGTTTACCTACCATGCAAAAGGAAATACCTCCTTTTTATGCTTGAATACTTTCCTTTTCCACAGACATTTCCACTGGGCCTGGGAGATGGGCAATTCTATTCATGGACAGATGGTTTGAGAAGAAAGGACTGGCATGACTATGAAAGCATTCAGAAAGAGGCTATGCGCTCAGGTATGAAGCCCAGTGTACGCCAAAGTGCTACTTCACTCACAGCAGTGTCTCATTTGTCATGTAAAGGATCTCTAATTAGTATTTCTTCTGCACACAGTAAAGTATGTTTCATGGGGATATTGGAGGTGAATACTGGACAGAACCTAAATGATTGCAAATTTCAGAGAGGAAACAAATAATGAATAGTCCCTCTAATATTAGCAGCAGTAAAACTTATTAAAATTTGAGAAATATATACTACTGTATATTCCCAAACTGCTTAATAATTTCTAGGGGTATCCTGGGATTTATCAACTAGACTTGACCTGATAGATCCATATCTTGAGCAAGATTCACTCATTAGAGCTGAAGTGTATGTAACTGGCAATTCAAAGTATTTAATTTCTGCCAACATTTCTAGACACTGGCAGGATATACAGGAAGCCAGCAGGTCAAGCAGCTGGGGATCTAAGGTTGGCAATAGTTGAAAAAGCAATCAGGCAGTTAAATGGAATCAAGTAGGTCTGTTTATGTGTAGCAGAGTTCCAGTCTTGTGCTAGAGTTAAAGGACAAAGTGGCAGGAAGGGTATATAAGTAGGAATTCAGAAAGTAGAAATCCAGTGAAATTCAGTAACTCATGATAGGAAGCCCATATTCTAATTATTCAGCCAAATAAGTTGTTTTCACTGTGAGGATGTCACAGAAATAGAGCAGCTACAGTTTGGTAAAGAAATCTCAGAAGCCCAGAGACACTTCATTCCAGATCAAATCAGCAGCAGGATTGTGACTAGCCATGGTGTGAGGTCCTCTTGCTCAATTTCTCCCATAACTCATTCTGGCAAACTAACTAGAATTAGTAACAAAATTGTTCTCGGCTGTGAAATGTCTTTAGCACTGTGTCAGGTATGGCTGACTTAATTACAGTCTTTCATTTTTCCATTTCTTTTCTTCAAATAAAGGCCAGCCCCAGACCCCACCCCCAACTTCATTAAAGCAGCTTATTCCAAAGATGTTCCCTGTTTTCAGAGAATGAACTTCTTCCAGGTTCTATCATCTTTCCACCTTGGCAGTGACCCCATGAATAGTTGTGAAAGTGAGTTCCTTACCAGCATCCTCACTTTTCTCATACTTTCTATCTTTTTCCTCTATTTGCTTGATTAACTCTTTATTATTTCAACCACTTGTTTCTCCTTATGACCCCGGGATGCTGAAGTTTTTTGGAAATATTTTCATAATTTTACCAACTGAGTCTTCCACAAGTTAATAATAATAATAAAATAGCCCAAATGTATTGAATGGATGTTTTGTACTAAGTGCTTAACATATATATTTTATTTAAACCTCAGAAGAACTCTGATGGTATTATTATCCCAAATTAAAATAAAATTGAGTTCCTACAAATTTATAATTTTTATCCAAGGTCAAGCAGCTAATAATTTGGATTAAAAACTGTCTTATCATGGTTCATTATACCCCACTGTCAACTAATAATATTTGGTATGGAGTAATGGCAAGGACACAGCAGGAGAAAGACACAGCTAGGCTCAAATCCTAGCATTTTCATACATGAGCTGTGTCAAATCAATTTCTGTTTCTGATATTCTACTTTGTAGAATGTCTTTAAGGATTAAAGATAATATACCTACAGTAATTGTCCAATTATTTGGACATATTGGAAACTCAACTAAGTATAACCATAATTATTAATTCATTTAAGTTACTTTTACATGAATTGGTGTTCCTATCCTTTGCTTGTACCAATGAGTTTTGAATTAAAAATCCAGTGCTTCACATTTATATCTGCTCCATACCACCCTTTCCACCTCCTGAGTGAATTTGCCTTTTCTATCTTCATCTTTGCTTGGACCAAGGGAAAGTTGATTTGCAAAAGACATTGGTAATATCACAGATTTTTAACTACAAATTCTTTGTGTAATTTGAAAGTTTTAAATGCTAGATTTTTTTTTATTCACTGGAGGATATATGATAAATTCATACACTAAAGTTTATTTTTATACAATGAAATATAAATAAAAGTGTATTAAAACACATGTGTGTACACACACATTCAGGTACAGAGCTGAAATCAAGTATCTGTGTACTTCATATACAGGCCAAGAAAAAGGATTATTTCTGCCATTATGTCCTTCCACTACTTTAATTTTGTGTTTACTCACTTTTTCTCTGTAGTTTTTACTGCCAGTGTATTTCTCCTGAATAAAATACTGCTAAGTTTTGCCAGTGTTTGAACTTTATCGAAAAATTTCATCTTATTGCATGACTTTCTTCTTTTACTAAAAAAATATTTTTGAGATTCATCTAGGTCAATGTGTGCAATGATAGTTGGTTCATTTTTACTGTTGTTTAATTTTCTGTAACATTCTCCTTTTGGTTGGCCTTTGAATAGTTTTAGTTGTTGCGTATAATGGTTCTACAAGTATTCTTGTGCATGGTTCTAGGGTAGAGACAATATTTTATTAAAGAATATATTTAATAGTAGATTTGTATGCCTAGAGAATGCACAGTTGAACTTCATTAGGTCATGACAAGCTGCCAAAATTGATAACACCAGTTTCATTTCGATCAAGAATGAATGGAATTCTCACTGCGGTAGCAGTACATCATTGTGCATATTTGAAATTGTCTGACTTTTTCCCCCAATTTGGTGATATTTAATAGTCTCTCACTGTCACTTAGATTTGCATTTTATTAGTATAAAAACATTACAATGTGGTTGATATCTTTTTATGCTTTTGGGCCATTTGTTCTGTATTTTTTTGGTAAAAGTCCTATTCATTTCTATTTCCACCTTTTAATTTTTTTTTCTTCTTCATTGATCCACATAGTGCTATTAATTTATTTTGAATGATAACCTTTGGTAGTTGTATAACGTGACAATAACTTACCCTACATCTTGTAGACAGTTTAAAAAATCTATGTATGGTTTAATGAATCGTTTTTAATTTTAAGGTAGCCAAATTCAGCAATCATTTTTAAAAAATAGATCATAGTGATGTTCTGCATTGTCTTTTAAAAGCTTGATAATTTTGGCTGGGTGCAGTGTCTTACACCTGTAATCCCAGCATACTGGGAGGCAGTGGAGGGAGAATCGCTTGAGCCCAGGAGTTTGAGAGCAGCCTGGGCAACAAAGTGAGACCTCATCTCTACAAAAAAACAAATTAGCCAGGTGTGGTGGCGTGTACCTGTGGTCTCAGATACATTGAAGGGTGAGGAAGGAGGATCACTTGAGCCTGGGAATTCGAGGCTGCAGTGAGTTATCCAGCCTGGTCTGGAGACCCTATATCTAAATGAATGAATGAATAAATAAATAAATAAGCAAGCAAGCTTGATAATTTTTCATTCTACATTTGGGGCTTAAATCCACCTAGTCTTCATTTTTATATAATGTGAGGTAGGGATCCAATATTTATTTAGTTTTTATTCACTTAACCAATTCTCAAGAACATTTATTAAGAAATTTGTCTTTTCCTTCATTGCTCTGAACTATTGATTCTATTATGAATTGAGTTTCCATATTTGGGTGTTCTTTCTGGGTTCTCAATCCTATTCTGTGAGTAAAAATCCCTGTGCTAATACCATAATAGCTAATATACTATATCTTTATTACAACTATTAATATCTGGTACAGCTCACCAAAAAAGAGCTACATTCTTGCCTTTCTTTTTGTTGCCATTCTTACATTGTACTCTTCCTTAAAATTTTATGTTCAGTTTTAAATTTCATATTAACAGACACAGATATGCACCAAAAAAATGGGAATTTTAAAATTGGATTGAGCCTATGGATAAAGTAGGTGATGATTGATATTTTCCAACATACAATAGTCTATTTTATGGTACATCATTATATTTATTTGCTACTTCTTTATTATATTTAGGGATGGCTTTGTGATTTTGTTCTCAGATTATGTTTAATATTAATCCTAGAAAACTAATATATTGATTTTTTCACATGATTATATTGAAATTACTCATTGTTTATAGTTGTAATATAGAAATGTTAATAACTTTCAACATTTGCAAGATTTTAGAAAACGTTCTGAGGTTTTCTATTAATTAAAATTATTTACTAATAGTTTATTTTGGATTTTCAGTATATAGACACTCATAATTGCTAGTAATGACAGCGATTTTAAAAATGTTTTATTCTATTCTAGATCTTCTAATTTTAGTTTTAGTTTTCTCCTATTATTATAATTGCTGAGAGCTGCAGTGTAACACTGAATAGTTGGTAATAATGGCTACTCTTGGCATTTTTATGATTCTCACAATATTAATTTAAAAGCTCATTTTGAGATTTTATCTGCTTGTATACTGTTAGATCAATTTACCTAATGTAAATACATCTTATCACGTTTATTAACAACACAAATACACCATGCACTTTAACAAATACACTTATTTTACTTCTGAATCTTTTTTGCTAAGAGTTTGTGACTTTCTTTTAACCTGAAGGAGTGTTGTTTGATTAAAATATTTTTGTTCATTTGCATTTCTTAAGATACATAAGATAAATTTTCTCCTTTAATCTGTTATTTGGGTAAATTATATCTATTGCTTTTCTAATGAAAACCAAATTTGTTATTCTGGACTAAATCTGCCTTTTTATTGATAACTATATTTGATTTGTTAATATTTTATTTGGCATTTTCAAATCTTTATGAATTAATATTGGTCAAAATTTTTCTATTCTTATGAAGTCTTCATCAAGTTTTGGTAACAGTATAATGACAACTTCATAAAATGACTTGTTTAATACCAGTTTTTATACATCATAATTGTTTGTTGTATACTAAAATTATTTCTTTAGTGATCCATTTGGATTTCTTTGTGGATGAAGTTTTGTTGACCTGAATTTTTCTTGGAGCATAGATTTTTAACCACTTGGCTAATATTTTATGTAGTTACAATAGTAGTTGATTATCTGTTTCTTCTGGAATGAATGGTATTCTTCTAGTAATTTGTCCATTATATCTAAATATTTATATATTCTGACACCAA